AAATAAATAAATAAATAAATAAAAATAAGACAAAATAGAGCCAGTAGCCACTCTAGCTCTCCAGAGGAGGACAAATGAAAAAAATCTCATCCCAAACATCAGAGTCAGTTATGCAAGCAGGAGGCAGCAGCTAAGCCCTGTCCCGCCCTGGGTTGTTACGCACCTTCACAAACCAGACAGGCACAAAGGCCACATAATAGGCACTCAGCATGGAGCTGACCAGCACTTCCTTCATGCGCCAGTTGAAATCCATCTTGAGGAACTCTACCTCGCTGCGGATGAGGCTGGGTGACAGGCAGCAGGCATGGGTGGGCATAGCGTCCGGGCCATACAGCTGTTTTGTGTGCTGCTTCCATGTCTCCCGCAGCGTCAATAGGTAATCCCGGCTCTTTGCCAGGCCGCTGACTGCCTCTCGGGGCCCCACGGTGGCCATGTGGCTGAACAGGCTTGTCTTGCGGAGATCACAGTTCAGCTGCAGGAACGGAATGTACATCCCAAACCTGCTGGGGAAGAGGATGGTGAGGGCAGGTCTGCCCCTGGGCCAGGATCCCAACGTTCAGCCACTGAGGGGAACCTTCTTTCTTCCCTGGGCTTCAGCTCTTTCCTGGCTGCTCAGAGAGGAGAGTTTACCTATCCTTCCATCCAGCCATCCTCCTACTGAAGAGTCATTCAACACATGTATAATCACTAAGCATGTTTCCAGCATGGAGGACACAGTGGGAAGCAAGAGACAAGCCCCTGCCCAGTCTACTGGTGACAAATAATAATCCCAACAGCCCAAATTCACTGGTCACAGTCTATGTTCCAGCCACTGTACTAAATGCTGTTCCTGCATCCTCTTCTTTATTCTCATAAGAACACTATGCGTTAGGTACTGTTATTTCCCCCCCTTTCAGCTATGGAAGCTGTGCCTCAAAGAGGTGAAATAAATTCCCAAAGGTTGAATAATTATAAGGAAGTAAAAGATCCAAGGCTTAAACCCAGAACTGTCTGCTACCAGAGATCAATATTCACAAAATATTAAAAGTAATTAATTAAAAGTATACACAGTGCCATAAAAGAGCGGTATTAGTTGTTATTGGTACATGTATGAGAGGCAGCTCTTTGGGTGCTACGCCAAGGTTGTTGGATTGCCTGAGTTCAGAAGTTCGAGACCAACCTAAGCAAAAGCAAGACCCTGTCTCTCCTAAAAAGAAAAACTAGCCAGGTATTGTGGTATGCAACTGTAGTTTTATAGAGTAGGGCAGTTCAGGAAGAATTGTAATATGCCAGGCACAGAAATGAACTCTTAGATAGAACCAATCCCTTCCCCTGAGAGACACTTATAGAGTAGGGCTGGAACATATGAGTCAAGGGTGTTTTGTTTTTATTTTTAGAGACAGGGTCTTGCTCTTTTGCCCAGTGTAGTGGC